TGGCTGTGGGGATATGGTGCATGTCCTTATGTATTCCCAGAGTTTTCCTTATGATCAAGGGGAGGGGTGTGTGTTTGTCTTCCATGAAAAATGTGGAAGAGGTATGTGACYCCATGCATCCTGGGTCTAGGTGGGAGAAAGCCTTTACCCTGCCCAGCTGAGTAAGAAACATTTAAGAATTTTAAATTCTGGAAAAAAAATACAGTAGAAAATAATGGCAATCTTCTGAGTTGTTTTGTTTTTTTCCTAGTTTGGGAAAGTTGGAATGACAGTTCTTCCCCTGCAAAGTTTGCCATTCCAAGCAGTGTGTGGGTTTCTYRGGGATTCAAGGACTGTCATTAAAGGACTGTTGCAAACTTATTTTTGAAGTGCCTCATCTGAAGGAACTGAACTGCCACTTACTCTGCTCTCTGTAGGAACTCACTTTTCCATGTGGAAGGAGTAGGTACATTTCTTTCCTCACCCTCAACTCCCAGCAGAGCAGTTTCATGTCTATTTTTAGCAAGATCTGTGAAATCACAAAAATAATATAGWGCTTGGAGCATTCTTCTATACCATATATGCATGCTGGCAATGCRCACTCTTGTTCATTTGTCATTTCAGTTCTGTATTTGCTGCTAATTGTGGAGCCCATTTCCCAAACATGGAGGAGTTTTGCAAGGGAAAGATAGTGCAAAGCTGCACAGTGGTGGGTTAAAAGCAGGAGCAATCTCAGTGAGAGTGGTTTCAGTTGTGGAAAGCACAAGAATGGGAGGACTGGGTCAGGGAACAGAAGTTTTTGAGAGCTTCCCAGCCACTGGGGGATTAGACAATGGATGGCTCCTGTTGAAATCATAGAACATCCTCAGTTGGAAGGGGCACACAGGGAYTGAGTCCACCTCCAGGCTCTGCACAGGACAACGTGAAAAATTCCACCCTGTGCCTGAGAGAATGTGCCTGAGAATGGGTCACTTTCCTCATCCCAAGTGACAAGGGATGGAGGAAAAGAGCCTGAGAAGGCCTATGAACCATGATCCTACTGTGATTTTGGCAAAGGCAGGTGGGATCCTGGATGTGCTGGGCAGAAAATTTCTCTAGGAATTGGTGCCACTGTGAAAGGCCCTGGTGAGGCTTCACTCAGATGCTGAACGCCCTTTTGGGTGTGAAGATATATTCAAGTTGAAAGTGGGATGCAGAATTCAGGATGGTGGATCGATCCTTCCTTATGGGGGCAGAACCTGCTTCTTCCTRCAAGGCAGAGCCTGAAAGTGAATCAGTCACTGCCACACTCCTGCAGGAAAATGAGTGCACAKTTATTGCCATTTTGGGGGGCACAGGGGATACCTCATGAATTGCTGTGAACTGGGGCTGAGGGACAGAAAGGGCATTGACCTTTTTGGGATGAATCCAAAGGAGGCCACCAAGGTAATCAGAGGGATGGAGCAGCTCTGCTA